TAATCAGTAAAAGTGCTGTTTGTGTGTGAAAATGCAAAAAAAAGACACTTTCACTGACGATATCATCATTGTGATACGTTTTACTGTTTTGAAACAGTAATATTTGTGTTCAGTGAAGTCTCCTGAGTATAGCAGTACCCTCCCATGTACAGGTTTTATGGTGTCTTGGAAAGTTACAGGATTAAATATAGGGCTTGCAAACCAAATTCTGGTGGAGCCAGCACCTGCAGAAGCTGGACGCACATCAACGCAGCTCTTCAAGCTTACCTAGATATACCTGGCTAATTCCGGTCATCGGCCCGCTATTGCTGAGCTCAGAGGCCACACCATCCAGACGCCAAGCCATATGGGGAAAAGGAACAAAAAGCAATGAGCAGACCTGGGCTTGGGACTCCAAGATCTAGGAGTTTTCCTACGCACAACCCCGCGGCCTGAATCTGCCAAGATTGTGCCCGCTGAGGCCCATAGCTCAATGTTGTCGGATGATGGCAGCATTGCTGCTGATCTCTACCCTCCACCTAGGCCATGCACAGTACCACAGACAACTGCAGAGCTGGAGGACTTTGCTCCACCTATAAAAGCAGATATCAAGGCACTAATGACAGAAATCAATGCGGATATGGCAGTATCTAAGCAAACTAATAAGGTGCAGGCAGTAAAGGAAAGCATGGAAGGCACCAAGCTAGCACAATCGGCTACTGATGCTGCTATAGGAGCGCTACAGAAACCAAGCGTAGAGCAACAGGCACAGATAGCCACCATGGAGGACAGGGCCAGAGCACAACTTGAGAATCTGGGGAGTGCTGGAAACTATTTGTGTAGTCGAACACCCTACTATTGTTGGAGGCTTATTGCCTCTCTGCTAATGCCCAAGCAGGCAAAACAACTAGTGGTAGACTCCTGTTTTCGACTCACCAAGGCTTCCAACGCAGCCCAAGCAAAGGGATGTTCTGTTTAAATTAACGTGGGAGTCTGACTGTGGGGTAATCATGGGGGCCGTGAGGGGCTCTCCCACTATGTCATTTGAGGGGGCACAGCTGGCATTTTTCAGGACTTTTCCAGACATATTCTGGTATGGCGAAGATCACTCAAGCAGGTTACCTTGCTACTACAGGAGCACTCTATTCCCTACAAATGGGGCCCACGTCAAATACTAGCTGATAAGGCCAACAAGACATACCTTTTGTCACAACTTTCCAAAGCACCAGCTTTCATCCAGTCCCTAGGCATACAGGTGGAGAAGGCTCTAATGACAGATCAACCATCTGGACTGTTGTGGGATTCACTCCATTTTAGCCCAGTTGTTTACACTGTTTAATAATGCGTAAGTTCCATTGTTTATTTTTTAATTACCTTGCAATTGTTATCATGGCTCCGTAAGCTAACAGTTTTGCCCTCCCCCTTTTTACTAGAACGTGCAACGGTATATAGTTGCTTTATTACGAGCATTACTATGCAAGCTCGGCGCATGACCTCTGCCTTCTTACTAGCTGCGACCCTCCGATACTGCCTCTAAGCCCATTACTTACCCCATATGTACCTTGAATGAGCCCTTGCCTGATAGTGTTGTGACAATATGCTTTAAGGCGCAATAAGCCCCATACCTGCACCATTTTTAGACACAGATCTGTTTAACTTTCCTTAACAAAAAAGGGAACCCTAGCCACAAAACACTAAAATAAGTTGATTTAAGCTATGTGATCTGAATGTCAATTATTATATCATTTATGCTCCCGTAAGATTCACATGCCATGTTGTATGAACACGCCATGCAATAACTCCCAAAAATATATATTTTTTTAAATGTCATAATCTTTCTCATTTTTCAGCATATTGTAGAATGATTTCTCTGTACACATTTTCACATGTTACCTGTAACTTGTCTTTCAGACAATAAGCAACTGATTATGACAATTGCAAAGATTTTAAGAGAGTCTGGAGACAGTTTGGATGAGGAGGTAAACTGTGCAATATAATTAGCAGAATGCAAAAGAAAATCAACAGTTGTTGTTTACTCAAAAACTAATGCTAAAATAGATACTCACAGGTTGTGTGTTAATATAAAATTTACTCCAAGCACCATGACCACTTCAGTGTTTTGAAGTGACCATGGTACCCAAGTCTGTATGCACAGACTCGGGTATCATGGTCATGGTGTTTCGCTTTAAAATTATGTAGAGTCATGATGTGTCATTAATTCTGGGTTGTCAATACTGTTCAAATGTTCATGCACACTGTGCCATTCATTGGCTGAGAGCGGTCAATAGTGATGTCCCGAACGGTTCGCCGCGGACTCATCATTGAGTAAACTTTGACCCTGTACCTCACAGTCAGCAGACACATTCCAGCCAATCAGCATCAGACCCACCTCCTGGACAGCTCACTAAGAATGCAGCTTCACAATGAATGTAAAATGGATGCTGTCCAGGAGGTGGGAGGGTCTGCTGCTGATTGGGTGGAATGTGTCTGCTGACTGTGAGGTGCAGGGTCAAAGTTTACTCAATGATGAGTTTGTGGCGAACCGTTCGGGACATCACTAGCGGTCAACTGATGTTCTAAGCCAATAAATGTCAACTAGATTGGCTTACGGGCTCCGCAGCTCTTTAAAAGCCAGAGGCACGTCAAGGAGCCAGCTAAGATACAGGCAATAGGCCTTTTGCCCCATTACTGAACAATTGGACCAGACTACAGTTGGCCGTAATGGTTATTAAGTTTGGAGTAACCCTTTACTTTAGGGATACTGTAATCACTAAAACTATTTAAACTCAATGAAGCAGTTTTGGTATGTAGAACATACCCCTGCAGTCTCCTTGCTCAATCCTCTGCCATTTAAGAGTTAAATCGATTGTGTTTCTTCTCTTGATGCAGCCCTAGCCACTCACCCCGTCTGTGAATCACACAGCCGACATGGAAAAACATTTAGATTTTTAAATAAGCTCTTACAGTACAGTGTGTTTAATTTAGAAGCTGTTTTTCCTGCTCTGTTAATTGAACTTTAATCACACATATGAGACTGCTACAGATTCTAGCAAGCAACTAACATAGCAGGAGATAAAAAATTGTAAATTAGACCAACTGTGCAATAAGGAAAGCTAAGAAACGTAGACCCTTTTTTCAGGCAGTGTGAATCACAGCCAAGGGAAGCATGGCTAGGGTTGCATAACCCTAATGATTGAACTCCTAAGTGGCAGAGAATGGAGCAATGAGACTGCAGGTGTGTGATCTGTACAATAACGCCACTTCAATCAGCTAAAGTGGTTTTGGTGCTTAGAATATCCCTTTAGCTTTTATAGAAGTTTCCACCATTAATGCTTATACAAGGTTACATAATGAACAGAATCTTTTTTTTTTTTTTTTTTTTGCCACGAACAAACCACAACAAACTTTATTCCTTATTCTAACCATGCTCAGCAGGCAGACTGCTCTAAATGTGAAAACTAACAGAGTAATGAGTACAAAACCGTTAGTGATTGATTTTTGACTGCTTGCCTTTTTTTTTTTTTTACTTCTTTCAGATGCAGAAGAACAGGTCCATGTTTGATCAATTCCGTAGAGCATTATGCTATGATTTTTACAAGGACTTTTTAAATACTTACATTGGGCAACCTGTTCCCCTAACTGAGCCAGAGGTCGAAAAAAAAAGAACGGCGGTGGCTTTGTGCTTTGATGTCACCAGTAAACTGACTACTCTTGATAACCAGCCAATGAACAAAGTGCTTGGGTTTGGAGCTCATTATATTAAGGAATATTTCACTCCATGGGTTGAAAGTCAAGGAGGCTGGGTGAGACCTGTATAACATTGTTAGATTATCCAGTTTGTTTTAATTCTTTACAAAATTCCTACTTATTGTTAAAGGAACACTATAGGGGCAGGAACCATGGGTTGAAAGTCAAGGAGGCTGGGTGAGACCTGTATAACATTGTTAGATTATCCAGTTTGTTTTAATTCTTTGCAAAATTCCTACTTATTGTTAAAGGAACACTATAGGGGCAGGAACACAAACATGTATTCCTGACCCTGTAATGTTAAAAACACCATATAGCCCCCCTGGCCTTCCCTAAATATAGTATAATCTTACCTTTACTCCAGTCTGCTGCTGCTGCTGGCTCTGCCACTGATCTGCCTGCCTGGCTGACGTAATCAAAAGTGTTGATCTGAGCCAATCCCAATGCCTTCAGTTAGGAAAGCATTGAATTTGCTGAGCTTGTCAGGGGAAGAGCTAGCACAACATAAACACAGTCCTGGCAAATCAGCATCTTCTCATAGAGATGCATTTAATCAATTCCTTTCTGTGAAGAAAGTTCAGTGTCTCCATGCAGAGGGTGGATACATTGAATCCACTGCGCAGCACTTCCCCAGGAAGCACCTCTAGGAGCCATCTGAGGAGTGGCCAGTGGAGGTATCCCTACTGTAATGTAAACACTGCATTGTCTCTGAAAAGAATGTGTTTACGGCAAAAAGCCTGAAGGTAATGATTCTACTCACCAGAACAAATTCCATAAGCTGTAGTTGTTCTGGTGACTACAGTGTCCCTTTAATCTTACCTGTAACAATGTTACATTATTTAGTAATGCAGTTTTACTTTTATTTATTTTTTATTAACTTGGTACCCATCCAGATGCACAATATAAAGTATATATTTAACAAATAAACAAAAATCAGATGGGGGAAAAAAAAAATAGCTAGCTAAACTATTGAAAGATGGAACATGGAATCAAGGAGAAACATATATTCATCTTGTGTTCTTGCTATCCAGTCATCATAGTCTGGAGCATGCTGGTTCTTATACTAATTGCTAACTGCAGTTCATCATCTATCATGTTCCCTTGGATTATTGTATGCATGCGGTTGAGTATTAGGAGCTACCTCAATGAGGAAGACAAATAGAATAATTAATGGGTTGACGCAAAAAAAGGTTTACTTCAACTTTTTTTGTTGCAATGAAGCAAACTCCAAAAAAATAAGAATTTGGTGACCTCGGCCAGTGGTCCGGGCCAAAAAGGGGGAAGCAGGTTAAGTCCACTAATAGGCTGTCTACACAAAGAGTGCTATTAAAGGTCTCTGAGCATGGAATGGATGCCCTAAGAGCACTTTGCACATCACAAAGTTCCTTTTATGATGCTCTCACATGTGTCTGTTTTGGATAATTTCCTGGTGTTATAGGATGCAAATATTGGCAAACAAACCAGGGACAGTGAGACAAAACTGTGGAGAAGTATACATCTCAAATTCAATGTAAATTAGCTAAACTATAAAAACTGTCTGAGTCTACTATGCTTTCAGTTTAACTATTTTGGCCTAAAACGTGAAATTCACTTTGAATTCTAACTTTAGTGAGAAACACTCAGAGTTTATTTTTACCACTTTAAAAGAAAGTATTGACAACTATTACATTTCAAACATTACATAGATTGTTCTATTAAAAATAGACCTGTCACGTCCAGAACACGTGTGTGTGTGTGTGTGTGTGCTCGTGTTAACTTGTGTTAACTAATATACATGCTTTGCCCTGACAGTGTGTAAATTAAAAGAAAATATAAGGATTTTTTAAAAAGGAAAAAAAAACAAAATATAGTAATTTAAAATTACCATCTAATCCTTTCATTTTCATTTTTTTTTTTCTCAACGAGCTAGGTACCTGCAACTAGAAATCACAATACCTACAGGAACACTCTAGACACATAAAGCACTTTAGCTTGCTGACGTGCTTCGTGTCTGGAGTGTGTCACGTTCGTGATAGTTTTATAAAAGTGTGGATTTCAATAAATATTGAAATTTTTCTAATTGGTGTCAGAATTTCTTCCCTGGCTGTCAGTAAGACAATCAGGGATGTTGTCTTCCACTTTTGTTAGCTCAGCAGAGTTAATGGAAGTGGCAGGTGCTATGGGTCAGCTGTACTATTGCTCATTGAGAAGCATAGGAAAGCCACAATCTCACGTGTGCTCTTAACTCTAGCAAAGAGGCTTCTCAATGAGAAGATTATGATTGGAGCAGATAGACCATCAATGCGGGGGGTGGAAGGGGTGTGCTTGTCCAGGTTGTAGAAAGCAGGTCTGCAGCTATTCCATTTTTTTTTATTTTTTTTTAGTAGTGTTCCTTTCATTGCTATTGCTAACACTTTAATCTTTTTTCAGGAAAAGGCCTTGGATATGGAAACGGATAAAGAGGTGGAATGAGATGAAGGATTCCATGAGATAGAAAATCCAAGTGTCCTATTGAAATGTTATAGTTTTTGAGCCAGTCTGCTACTGAACAAAATTGACACACAGAAATGACTTTTGGATGTGCTATTAATATTAAACTCTAGATTTAGTTATATTGGTGTAAAGGCACACCTGCGGATTCTGATGCCTTTTTTAATTCCACTGATCAGCAGACTTTATGTAATTACAGATACTGACATTCCACTTCTGTAGCATTTCACTTAGACCTCAATTTAATATTGTTGGATACACTTTTAATATGATTTAATATATTTTTTAGATAAACGTTTTTTTGAAAAAAATTTTTTACATATTAAAATATCAAAAATATATCAAAATATTTTAATTTTTTTAACATTAAAAGGGTTAATTACTACAGTGAGAATTCAATGTGAATTGTAGGTATGGTATTGTTTACATTGCAGTAAATCAACATCAACATGACAGTCACCAGAGTTGCTTCCATCCCAACAGTCATGTTATACCCAGCTATTCAATTAGATGAATGTTTAGAGAACATTTGATTGGGTCATTGTGGCGTTTTGCCCTATCAGGAAACATTTGATTGGCTGAGATCATCTACACTGATTATCTCAGTCAAAGAGGAGGAGAGCATGAATGTGGAGACTGGCATGGCAAGGACTGAAAGTAATATTCGCCATTCAAACTGTCACACAGTGGGGAAATAAATAGATGTCCGAAGCACTTTAGTGTTGGGAATACATGATTGTCCATGATCAAACATTGTAGTATTGGAGTTACATTTACTAGCAGCTGGTCTGTCTATAGCACAACTGTGAAACCTGTCAATGTAGGCAATACTGTGACATCATTATTACCTATATGTTGTAAGCTCATGACTCAACTTGGCTAGCATTTTGTATGACTATTAACTATAACTTTTAGAGTCTAGACTATAAATTCAATCTAGGGTAGGGTCCTCTGTTCCTTTTTGTATCAGTTTCTGCCTGGCTACATGCTTGTGTAGATAAATTTATTTTTGCATCAATTGTAAAGGTTAAATAAATCATGCACATTTAGAAACATTCCTACAGAATGCTAAAGCAAGGAGAAGACGATATCCTCCTCCTTCCTTCTTTATATTAACCACTTTTAAAGATAACCACTATTATCACCTCTTTCACTAGAGCTATAAGACCGTGGTTATCTTCTTAGCCCTATAAATCCTGCTTATACAGTAGTTATGTTTTTTTTCTTCTCCTTTCAATGTAAAGTTGCTGCTGTTATTGAAGTGCAGAAAACTGAAACTTTAAAATGGGGACTTTTAAAAGTTGGGCTAGAAGTTATCATGTTTATCAAACTTGATGTCTATTAAAATGAATATGATTCTACTTAACTTGCAGGTGTTTTGTTTTATTTATTTATTTTTTATTATTCCACTTTTTTGCAGCACAGTGGAATTCTAGCATAGGTTACCCTACCAGTGGCGGAACTACCGCCAGTGCAGTGCAGTGCAGAGTGTTGCGGTATACCCTTGAGGATGGGTTACTGCCGCGTACCAGTGTGTGTATAGATCCAGAGTGATAATACTGTCGTCCACGAGGTACTGCTGTCTCACCCAAGCACTAGCCGAGACTTAATTAAGGGTGAAGAAGAACTCACTCCACATCTGACTTTCTCCACTATAAATTTATGTTGCGCTCTTACAGCTTGGCTCTTTCCTCTGCAAATGAAAATGACATCAATACCCTCATAACCACACACTCCTGCGAACCCAAACTACTATTTCACACATTTAACTCTCTTCTTCGCCCTATTGCTCCTCCTCCTCCTACCAACTTAACCGCCACAAACTTTGCAAGTCACTTCACTGATAAGATCTCTACAATCAGTGAAAAGATCCTCACCTCTCTCCTTCCCCTTACAATACTTCCCCCAACTTCACTCCCTCAGCTGTTCTATGTTCATTCGCATCCGCTACAGAGGAAGTGGTGTCTGCTCTGCTCCGGTCCTCCCACCCCACCACCTGTTCCCTTGATCCTATTCCCTCACCTCTCATCCGTACTCTCTCTTTCTCTGCCTCTCACTAAAATTCTCAATCTCTCCCTTTCCTCTGGCATATTTACATCACCCTTTAAACATGCAACTGTAACCCTGATTCTTTAAAAAATATAAAATAAAAAAAAAGCACAACCTTGTCCCTAACTACTCTTGCTACTGCCTTTTGCGTCTAGGATCCTTGAAAGATTTGTGTAAATGAGATTGACAGACTTCCTCGAATCCAACTCTCTGCTCAGCCCATTTCAGTCTGGTTTCAACACTGTGTGGAAACTGCTCTGACCAAAGTATCCAACGATCTACTCGCAAAATCTCGTGGTCACTATTCTATTCTAATTTTCCTTGACCTTTCCGCTACTTTTTTCACTGTTGATCATCAACTTCTCATGCTCATCCCAGAACACAGACAAGTCTAATCTATGTTCAAGGAATGTTCCCTGAACATAGATTTGAGGGATTCCCTGCTCTGCTGCGCTTGTCTATGTTTGTGGAAATTTTCCCGAATGTGGACATACGCACCAGAGCAGGGAATCCCTCTAACCTATGTTCGGGGAAATTTCCCTCGAACTTAGACCTGCACTGGTGCGCATGCGCCTCACTTATCGACCAATTCGTTTTATGACTGGGTCGTAAGAACAGAACCCGGTCCGTAAGTGAGGAGCATCTGTAGCACTTCTGTGCGGATGACATGCAAATCTATCTGTCCTCTCCTGATCTCTCCACGGCCCTCTTGACTAGTGTCTCTGCCTCTCTGCTATTTCTAACTGGATGGCTGCCCACTTCCTTAAGCTCAACTTGTCCAAAACAGAACTTCTGGTCTTTCCTACCTCAAGTGTTGCCACTCCCGTTTCGGTCTCCCTTCACATTAATGGCGCTACCATCTGCTCCACCACAGAGGCTCGCTGCCTAGCTGTTCTCTTTGACTCAGACCTCTACTTTACCCCTCATAGCCAGTTGATCGCCAAATCTTGCCGCTTCCATCTCAAAAACATTGCATGCAACCGCCCCTACTTAATGCCAGATGTGGCTGAAGTGCTGGTCTATGCCTGTCCTCTCTCACTTTGACTACTGCAATCCGCTTCTCAGTGATCTTCCGTGTCCCAACTTGCCCCATTACAGTCTTTAATGAATGCGGCAGCGAGGCTTATCTTCCACCTACTACGCCTCACCCCTCTGTCGGTTCCTGCATTGGCTTCCCATAAGATATAGGGCATAAAGGATCACTATAGGGTCAGGAACACAAGCATGTATTCCTGACCCTATAGTTTTAAAACCACCATCTAGCCCCCCTGGGCCCCTCATGCCTCCATAAATATGGCAAAATCTTACTGTATTCAAGCCAGAAGCTGTAGATCTGCATGCTGTTTGCCTCAAAAAAAAACCAGCAGTCTGAGGGGCGTGGCTAGCTGAGCTACTGAGCGGTCGCACACTTGAAGAGCTCCCGCTGCAGAGACCCAAAATCTGACTTTAAATACCGCAACAGAGCTCAAAATTTACCGTCTAGACATCAGGAACACCCCTCCAAGAGAGATGGGCAGAAAGCACCGAAAAATGGCCCAAGCAGAGGACCAGAAACACACAGACATCCGACTGTCCTTCTGTAGGCCGCCGCAGCAGGTCCGACCAAACATGGCGCCTGCGGAGCCACGCGGCTCGAGTGACTCCGAGCTCTCATTGGAGGATGAGACAACTCAAGCACCCCGGACCCACAGCGGAGTGTACCAGAGAGCAGAATCAGACTCTGATAAATCCCCATCCACCAAAGGAAACCTAAAAAACCTCCTGCGGGACATGAGAGAGGTGTAGAAGGCAGACCTCGCTGGGGTACAGGAGGAAATAGGGGGCCTGAACCGCCGCATATCGAGACCCGAGAAGGGGAGAGGGGGAAAAAAGATCGATGACACCGACTCCCATGTCACTGCCCTCACGAATCAAGTGCAACACCTTACACGCACGGTGACCTCCATCGAAACGCGCCACCGACGGAAAAATCTCAGAATCCGCGGGGCCCCAGAGTCGATAGGCCAAGAAGCCCTACTCGAGTTTGCCAATGAGGTCCTGCAAGCACTGGGAGTTCAGACGGAAGACGAACGGCCACCACTAGTGTCAGCCTTCAGGGTCAGGAAGGCCCCCACAGCGCCCGCGGATGCACCCCGCGATATCATAGTTGTCTCAAGAGACATATCAGTGAAAACCGCTGTCATGGCGTGATCTAGACAAAAACCAAACCTAGTGATCGCAAACAATAGGATCTCGATATACGATGACTTATCCTTTACAATCCTCCTTGAACGGCGCAAGTTCATGCCCCTCACCAGGACTCTGCGAGATCACGGCATTAAATACCGATGGGGGCTGTCCGGAACTGGTGGTACCGCAGGGAGATGCAATACACACCCTGTCGGCCGCTGAAGACCACACAGAGTTCCTAAAAAGACTTAATATACCAATATCGACCCCCTCGGAGCAGCTCACAACAGGAGACCAGAAAGCAGTGACCCCTAATGCGAAGCAGAGATGAGGAAACAGACCCACAGGAGACATGCACCCACTGGGGCGAGAAGACCCCCCCCCCCCCATAAAGAGACTCTCTTATCCACACAACCTACGTTATCACCGAGGTTCCAGCGTCTTGCAAGGCCACAGTAGGTCGTGATAGACTAACAGCAGGACGTATAGAGGACTAACAGGGACAACACAAACTCTTCAGTTAACTTAATACCTTTAATTTTTCTTTCTTTTAGCTCTGTAAAACCATACTACAAGAGCCTCTAACATGTCCTACCAATGAGCCGATATTAACCCCAGGGTCTATTTTAACCAGAGTTTATGGGTTGTTTGTTTTTTTACTGTTTTGTTTTTTTCACAGCAGCCACTGACCCAGAGTATATTTCATTTCTCTCACAGCAGCCACTGACAGACATAGTCACCATGTCTAAATTAACCACACGCAC